TTTCTTCGATAATCCCTCTTCATTGACACTCTTAAACATTGGTCTTTGTATTGACATTGTTACAAAAGTGGTATCGAAATACAAAGGAACATAAAACATAAAACAGAAAACGTAAAATACAACTTGAATGAGGAAACATGGACCCGAGGCGAGATAACTAATACGCCTTGTATAGTGCTAATGGGTTGGTGCGTTCTGTCCCCAAAGAAACAACGGCTAGCTGCTTTAAAGATGTAGCATACCAATTTCAGAGCTCAAGACGAACCATGTATTAATCCCACAATCATCGTTTTACATGCCCTTTTTAATCATTTATTTCTCACTCATCAAAAATCAATTTTGAGAAAATAAATATACTTCGAGTATCTACTCGAAACATATAATTTTTCTACACAATTTAATTCAACTAGAATTAAATTTTTACCCAAAAAAATTCAATCAAAACCGTGTCAAACCCAAGTTTTATAACTGATTTTTTCAATAGATATAATCTACATATAGATTGAGAATCCATCTCCTTTGTAGGTGGATGAACAAAGAAGGTACCTGGTGGAGAAATTGTTGGTAACGCCAACATAAGTCCTGATGGGTGGATTGGTGGAGAGGATAAGATACACTACCCACGAGGTCTTGCGCGAGCATCTCGACACGGCCGATGGGGGATTTTCCGGCGATGCTCCGGGAGAAATTGTAGATGAAGAGGAATTTTCCGGTGACGATTGGGCCAAAATATTAGATGATGAAGGCCTTTCCGGCGACGATCGGGGAGAAATTCGAGATTGGTTTTCCGAGGAGTTTATCGGTTTGGAAAGGGGAAGAAGGATGGGAAAGGGTTTAGAATGGGGTTTCACTGATTTGAATGTGGCTGATAGCAGCTTCGTCATTGTCGTCTCGTCTCCGGAGCTCGGTTTCTTGGATATTTACGGCCGGTATGGTACAAAGCTTTTGGTAGACATACTCGTTGGTACAATAAATTTTTTTATGTTAATAATCAGCCGATTTTTTGAACAGCAAAACCGGAAACATGAGAACCGGAACCGAACCAGATGTAACGCAGTATGAATTTATAGATTACTAACCGGGAGATTCGCTTAGGAGGAATTTCATTATTCAACATTTTTTGTTGTCCTAACTGCCATACATTCGACTCTCAATCTATTAACATAACCGTAAAATTTTCTCTGAAAAACTAATTCTAAAAGGATCTACTTGGCTGTCTAATGGCGTAACTAGGCTACAAAATCTCTACCTCTTTATGATTACTAGCACCACGCCGTACTTGTTCTACGTGCTTACATGCCTAATGAATTTGTGATTCCTTGACGTTTGTAAATGCATCAATTGTCATCACAATCAAATTGTGACCTGACTTCTTCAACAAACCAAGATTTCACATTTCCAACCCAATAGAGGTTCCCAGAGTCAAACCTCTCCAATCACTTGGCCTTCAGTCTACGACGGAATGAATTTTGTTGGTGAAATCTATCAACGAATTACGGTTTGACATTCCTCTGAGCTATTGGCTCCACCTCACAAGTAAACATAATTCCTGATGTAGATTTTATTTATTATTCACGTCTGATTAAGAATTAAAATCCTTTATAACCCTTAGGTTGTATATGATTTATTTGGTAACACAACATATTACCTTTAGTGTAGCAGTTACGGTATACTTGACAATATGTCTTCCCACAAAGCAACTTTAATTTTTCCTATTTCTTTCTCCACACACCCCTCGCGCACATTACATCAACATGTTGCCATTACCATCTCAGCATGTGGTTTCCACCATCTTCGTCGCCAAGTCCATGAAATAGCATATTGAAATAAGAAATCCACGGCCACAGGCGCCGCGACGGGCCCACCGGTGGTCGGCTATGAAGACCTCGTCGCACCGACATCTGAATCCGATAAGACCTACCTCCTTTGGCAGCGGAAGCATTGATACACCTCTCTTCGGTGGAGGCGGAAAATCCTTCGTCGTAGATGCTCTTTTTTCAAATATCAACTCGTCGGAGCTAATTCTCTCTCCGACGTAGGTCTGGTGGCGATCTAGAGCTGACAGATCTATCCACAGATATGTGGTTCGAAGCTCCACCACTCGACGGGTTGTTTGAATTTTATGCTATTTGCTCGACTATTTTTTCGGTGGGTACAAGAACTAAGTGAAAACTTTGATAAAAACGAAAATAAGATTTAGTTATCATTTAAGAGTTTTGCTATTTGCTTTTAAGGGTAACTTTAATAGTTTAATTAATCATTTTTTTTTAAAAAAAAATTATGTAAGTAGATAATACGTGTCATAGTTTCAATGGGTGCATGTTCAGGTACGTTCAAGGCAAGTATGAGGGGTAACCTCAGGGGCGGATCCAAAGCCCCTTCAGGTTGGGCCTAGGCCCCACATGGAATTTTATATTTTTTATAATATATATTGTTGAGAAAATAAGTATAAATTAAGTAATTTTACAAAAATAATATATAAATGAAGTTGTTTATTAATTGGGTGGCTTTTTCTTCCTTTTCTCTTACTAAAATTTTCTTATTGCAATTTATTATTTATCTGTTGTATCTTTAAATAAATTTATCATGACTTTGCATGCTACTATAATAATTATAACAACAAAAGATAGAATTATAATAAATTCTTTGATCCAATATTTTGAAAAATATTACCTCTCCTACCTACTGCTGAGTATTAAACATTTAAAAGATTGACATAATGGGATTGATTAATCATGATATCTTAACGTATATATCACTTAATGTGTTTACAGTTGGTAGATGAATAATTTAATTTGTATTGATAATAACACATTTTAAATCATTATAATAGATAATAATACTTAAATATACAATTGTAGGGTGTTTTAATATTTTATTTTGTATTATTTAAAAAAATTAAATTTATATGTAATGGTAATTTTCTAGGTCTTTGTGCCATTTTTTTTTTTTTTTTTTTTT